ACCATCTGATGATCTGCTTTGCCGCAGTGAAATCTATAGATTATGGTAGCTGTTCTCACCTCTGTGAACTGATATTATCATTATCTATTCTTTTCGAAGATATATAACAGTGATAATTTGATTTTGTGATAGTTTTATCATAAAGATTATTTACCATCTGATGATCTGCTTTGCCGCAGTGAAATCTATAGATTATGGTAGCTGTTCTCATCCGCCCTCCAGATACGACTCATTATATTAGTTTTAACTTCTTCTTTTTGGAGAGTTTTAATTATTATATAATATATGTAATAGATATTCTAAACATGCCTGATGATAGACAGCCTAAGCAACTGTCGAAACGCGTCGTGTGATGCTTTGAATATCACTTTCTCTTATTCTACTTGATGAGACCCTTAAGCAAGGTCGAAACCGGTCTTGGTGGCTGTTCTCACCTCCGAGAACTGAGACTATCATTATACATTATCTTCGGATATGTGTAACAGTTATAGTTAAATCTTGTGATTTTTATAATCATTTAGATTTATTGCCAACTGATGAGACCCTTAAGCAAGGTCGAAACCGGTCTTGGTAGCTGTTCTCACCCTCAAATATGTACAAGAATACTCTGACAATACGAGGTGAAGGTGAATGAAACGATTACAGAATGATGAATATCAGGCCTGACGAAATTACATCAAGGATCACATTACATTACATGACATTGATGCAACAGAAGATACAACAATTAACGGACGTCCTGATGAACTACAACTGTTGCGCTAATCATGTAATATGTAACCTTCTACTTTATCTTTCCTTTCTCCTCTTGTGTTGTATTATGTGTTCTCTTTCTTCTCTTCCATCTCTCTCATATATAAGCTCATGTTGTGTATGAGATTGTTACATTTGGATGTAGTACACAGTCGAATAAACATCTAGCCCACAATGGGAACAAAGACATATATGTGTCTCTCCTTTTGTCACAACGATAGGGATGCATCGGTAGCTCATTTACATCAATGCCCGACCAGTGGTAGAGCTGCATCTTGATTTTTTCGTTACAATGGTGAAAACTAAGTTTTGTATAATTATAAAAAATGAATAAAGTATGTTAAAATAATATAAGTCTTGAATTAATATTTGTATATTCTAATCTAATATTTCACTCAGCTGGTGGAAAAGCATAAAAAGCTACTTTATCAAATTCCCATCCAGCACCCTCTTCTGGTTCTTTCTGAGGACTAAGCAAATATCGTCGGCCAGGTATGTCATTATAATAAGATGCGTCTGCCCAAAATCGGTATATTGGAATTAAACCTGGTGCATCATGTGGACCACTAAATGCATAACACATAATTCCATCATTAGTAAAATTAGGACCAGATTCGTCATTATTTGGCGACTGTTGAAGTATGTTATGTTTGAGACCATTTTTTTCAGAATGGAAAGCATATATTGGAACCGTATTTGGTTGTGCTGTTCGATACACTCGAAATACTTCCTTATTAAAATTAAAATCATTATCTTCGGCTTTTGGTGAAAGTGTAAGCCAAAATCTCCACCAATTACCGGTACTAATAGCATACCCTTGATGAACAGTAACCAGATCCTAAATAAAATATACAATAATAATTTATAGATAGGAAAAATCTTGCAATCAGATATTTTGTAATAGAGTTAGTTGTTACAGTGTTTATAAGATAAATAAAACGAAACAAATGTGTCGAATACTAACCATTTTAGTCAACAGACACTTGTATGTAAAATTAAATATAAAAAATAATGAATTAACTTTGAATCTGAAAATATCAAAAAAATAGAAAAGCAGAGATATTCTTGATTAATCTAGAACAATACAAAGAAAAATTTTTATTATAAATTAGAATAGTAGTGAATGATCAGTTAGGACATCTTTCCCATCAAACGTTAGTCGATGGGTTATATACTTATTTTTCTTTCTCTGAACTGAAACTATGTATATCTTACTTGTTTGTTTTTTGAATAAAGGATGGAATCTATTGTGTACATATATACCAATCCAGAGTAATAGATACGAAGGAAATTTTAGTTTGTGTCTATCATCATTATTAATCAGAAAGATCGCATTCATGCGTAACAACCCTAACCTGTATTTTTGTCTCGAAATCAGTGATGATACAACATTTCTTTTCTTCTCCATCCATCTTTGGATATGAATGCAAATAAAAATATAATAGGGAAGAGAGAAAAAAACGCGTTGCTATTCAGATGAATAAAAAGCTGTCCAATACTGTGCATAATTCTCTTTCTCGTAGAGAAGAGTCTTGCAAACATAAATTGTCTGATTGCTTGCTTGTCTGTCCGCAGGGTCAAAAGAACATAAGTGTTGACCAAAAGGTAATCGGAGGTTATTTTTGGTCGGGATTTCGACCAATAAGGTTTTTTGAGATTGCGGTTTCAACCAATAGGATTTCAGGGGGGCGCAAATCAGCCAATCAGATTTTTTTGGCCCGTAATTCGGTTCAGGAAGGTTATTTTTGGTCGGGTTTTCGACCAAAAAGGTTTTTTGACATTGCAGTTTCAACCAATAGAATTTCAGGGGGAGGGCAATTCAGCCAATCAGATTTCTGTGGCCTGTAATTCGGCCCAGGAAGGTTATTTTTGGTCGAGATTTCGACCGATAAGGTTTTTTGACATTGCGGTTCCAACCAATAGGATTTCAGGGGGGAGCAAATCAGCCAATCAGATTTCTTTCGCCCGTAACTCTGTCCAGGAAGGTTATTTTTGGTCGGGATTTTGACCAAAAAGGCTTTTGACATTGCGGCTTTAACCAATAGGATTTGAGAACAGTCTTACAGACATAAATTGTCTGCTTGTTTGTATGTCCGTAGAGGGTCAAAAAATATAAGGGTTGACCGAAGGGTAATCAGGTCGAGGAATTCAAATCTGAGATCAGTTTTTTTGAAATTTTTTTACAGATTAATTTTTTAGGACAAAGGACCACTTTCTTACAAAAAAAGAATTTTTTTTAAAGGGTTGGCCGAAGCAATTGAGGTCTAAGAACTTGGATCTGGCCCCATTTTTTAAAATTTTATAAAGAAGTAACTTGATGGTAGTTTAGAAGCATGATTTCTACGAGAAAGAGCTGAGCGAGTCTTTAGACGAGCGTTACTTGTTATTAGTGCGCATATATATCTATCTTGGTTATTATAAGAGAAAAAAAATAAGTTAACGCGCTGTGATTATCATCTATATTTTTTCTCCTCATACCTTAACTAAAGGCAATAATTTAATCTGTTTCTTTCTCTTCTTCAGTCGTCTTTGCAAATAAAAAATATTAATCATACGGTACAATATGAATATAGCGGTGCATCATTTTGATCGATCACATAGCTCGAAAGAGAGCGATCATGGCTGCAGCGGTGGCCATTAAAATATTAGCTCCATTCATCTTTGCTCCATTACAATAACTGGTTGAGCAACAATAGTAGCTGAAATAACCCGAGTAGCTGTTCGAAGTCGAGCAGGAAATGGATCCTGATCCCGTGCCTCCACAAACTTTAGTCGTGACACCAAGAAGACTATACGACTAACATAAGAGAAAGAATATCATACATTAAGTTTCAGATTAATTAAAGATTACTCACATAGCAAACATCATAGGTTGTTGATGTGCTGAGTGAGCTGATGATTGTGGATGTTCCGTAGTAACAACTGATGCCCAAAGTGGCGGAAGCCAACGCTAAGGAAACGATCAATGAGAAGTGGATAGAGCATTGTTTAAAGTTTGCTTACCAAGAAGAGTGACGACGGTGATAAGAAGCCCGTTCATTGTTGCTTGGTTGTTCGTTCGAATGCGATTAAGAGAAAAAAATCAAATTGTCGGAGCGAAGAAATTATGAAACTGAGCAAGGTTGTCGTCTGAATTTATAGTATTGTATGGAGAGAGCAGTCGCTCGATGTTTTTTTTTGTTCCTATGGAAGCGAGCGACCCAAAAAGTAACAGTGTATCCTAGTGATTTCTTCTTTCAGACGGAGAAATTTTTTTTTCTCCTCTCTCCCGAATAGAGGTGTAAGCCATCCAGCCGAGCCGCCGCCGCCGCCGATTTTCTTCGAAAACCAGCCGCCGCCGCCCCTAAATCATAGGTTATTTTAAAAATTTCTCAGCCGCCGCCGCCGTCAAAGAATCAAAATCAGCCGCTGCGCCGCTGTCACTAAAAGAAATTTTTAATGACACAAGCCGCCGCTGCTGGCATTTATACATATGCGATCCAAAAATTTTTACGTTATCTTCATCAGTCGACTTTGTAACCAATCATGTATGTTGTGCATACAGTGATAAGCAAGAGAAATTCTATGCTGGAAGTAAAATGACAAAGATCTGTTACTGATGTAGATATTCTTTTAGTCATCAATATTCCTAGTAATTTTTTACTTATTGATAATATCAATGTTGTGATTTATCTATTTTTCTTCAATAGTAGTTTCTATATATTGATATCATTGGCGTTGTTATTTATCCGTTATAATTATAGCAGTGGTTCTGTTAATCATAGATCAACATGCCATGTTAGAAGCTTATTAGTGCAGCTCCTTTGGTGCTGAAATGTGGAACTCACGTATATTCTTCAGCCTTGTTATCTTAACATGTCATCCGTAAACTAAAAAAATTTCTTGTCGACTACGGTTGTTTTCATAAATAATCGCTGACAAGAACAATAAATTTATCATTTATTTCTACACTTAAAACTGAAACTGTCTATTTTCGTTTGAGTGGGCCCGATTTTATTTATTATTGTTACTATATAATCGATAATAATCATTTTTTTTTTGTATTTTTTTGGAATTATTTTTTCTTGTCATGAATTATTTGATGAAAACGATTATTAGAACAATGTAGTTTATATGCATCAGCCACTTTTATTACACTATTATATATTTTAATTACTTCATAAATGCTAATATTGTTTACTTCTGATACTGAGAAACATATCGAATCATGCTCCTCGTATTGAATATCCCATCGGTATGATAGATCAATACGTATTACTACTCTTTAGTCTTGGTTTTTAATATACAAGTTTAAATTCTAAAAAAAAGTCAATGATTACATTATTAAGAAATCTAACAATTTTATATTAGTTTTTGCCAATAATTATAAAAACATTGAAACATTGTGTAAGACTCAAACTCATTCTTCATACTGTTTAACTTTTTTTATTGTTAAGTAAAGCTAAAGTTTTTGTGTGGTTGCTGAGATCTGTCATGGTGGGTTGTCTGTAATGTTCTGTTTCCCCGTTGCTATGTGTCTGTAATGGGAGGGTATCCGGAAAACCTCGACTGTAAAACTTGCACTCACTATTTCCTTCGAAAAAATATGTGAGTTTCACAAAACGGTAATGAGCAACGGTTGAGATAGATAGAAATATCTTGCTCTCAAAAGAACATTTTAATTTTAAACTTAGCCGCCGCCGCCGCGCAAGAACTTATAAATATCAGCCAGCGCCGCCGCCGTGTAGAAAAAACATGACCAATTATAGCCGCCGCCGCTGAAGAGCTTACTAATTGAAACTAGTAGCCGCCGCCGCTGGTCAAAAATTGAGAACTGTTGTCCGCCGCCGCCGTTCAGCCACTCGGCTTACACCTCTACTCCCGAACGGTTCTGTTTGATTTGAACCGGTGAAAAAAAATTCACATGAGATGTATTTTTCGTATGCATCTTGCGAGCTTTACAAATGAACTTGTTTGTCTTTCGAACAAGCAAGAGAGAATATTTATCCTTGAGTTTTTAATGGAAGGTAATCCATACGTTTGAATGCATTATTCACTACTTTTTTCTCTTTCTTTCTAAAAATAGCAAACAGAACACAGTTCGAAAGAGAAGAGACAGTCCGTTTCAACTGTATGAAATTGATTGCAAACTTTTCATATAGTCAGAGCAAAACAAAATCGAAAAAATGCAAATGGTCAAATAAAAAAACTCGACTGGGTAATTGGATGAAGCATGCATACCCAGTGAAAAATATTTTTGAAAAATCATGATTATTGTTGATTTTTCACAAGATAATCGGATTTTTTTCTCGAAAATTATTTTTTTTGAAAATAATGTGATTAAATTAATTATAACCCAATAATTGCTTGACAAAATAATCATTTTGTAACGATTTTAACCGATTATTAGCTTAATAAACAGATTAAACCTCGAAATCAATTATAATTTTCGAAATCGATTATAATTTTAATTAAATCTAATTTGATCGAAGATTTTCAACCGATTACAATCGATTATTCTTCGTTTAATCAGATTCATAGGCGGCGGAGCCATTAGGCCTGGGTAGGCTCGAGCCTACCCTAGATTGGAGTTGGGTAGGCTTGGGTAGGCTCGAATTATCCTAAATTAAACATATAAAAAAGCTTGAGTAGGCTCGAATCATCTTAGGTTGAGGAGATAAAAGAGGCTTAGATAGGCTCTGTTTAATGTTAAAATTCGCTAAAGAATAGCTCAAAAGTTTCGATCACTATCTATAAATCAATGGTATCTACAACAAACTTCCATAAAGTTATTGATCAAATTACGTCATCTTTTGGAGAAAGATAAGAGTTATCATCTGAAAAAATATTTGGAAATAGATCTGGCATCTCACCAACACTATGTAAAAAACAGAGAAAAAAAGATGCCCAGCATTCTTGAAAAGAAGAAGAAGAAGAAGAATACCCCGCCTTTCGGCTACCTTTCAGTATAGGGTGATGTCCGAGGAC